AAAAAAAAACATATGGCAGAAAGGCACAATCCAAAAGTTTAAAATCTGTGACATTTGTCATCCACTTCATTAACCAATTAGACAGTCTAGGCTCACAGGCAGGCTGGAGCTGATCCCAGCTCTACATTACTCAGTTATTTGTTCATTATCTTATTGAAAATGCTCTACAAACATAATAAGTGTAGCTCTAAAACAGAACTGCATAGGATGGCACAAGATCTGTAATTGCACTTATGTCATTTTACACAGCGACATCATCAACTGTGAATACTGTGGTCAAACCAATTAAATCTATCAATTAAGATTCTGTCTAAATGACAGTCGACACTTCAGTGCTTTACTCCGGCCTGTGATTCCAAGATGATCAGATCTTGTGTGAGAAGATGTCTCACCGGCAGCATTTGGTGTCACGACTCTCACAGCAGGTTTTCTTGTTGCCATGAGATGTGATGATTTTCTTCTCAATGTGAGAGAAAGAGATCCTCCAGCTCTCTGATGAGGGAAGGCAAAACATAATATCACCACGTATTCGGACAGCATACAACAAAACCGAGCACTGTCTATTGTGCAATAAAGCTTCAGAGATTCAAACCTATCTATGACCTGTCATAGTTTGTCTTATTTTATATTTTGTCTTTGCTCTTAGTTGTTGTTATTATTTTGGATTTCGTTCATGGTGTCATACCCATACACTGAAGATGGATCAAAATGTATTGATTGTTTTTCCCCAGTACTCAAACTTCGATATCTCTGAAACCATTCACGCGATTTGGACTGTTTTAAATATTATTATATGTCTTGTCCATGAGAAGATGTAAATAAAACAGTCGTCTACCTGCAAAACTGGGATTTCTACACATATACAAACCTGCTGTCATAAATTGGACATCCAAATATTTTAGTGACTTCAAGCATCCGTCACTTTGTTAACATGAGCTCCACCCCTGAGAGTCACTGAAGCATAGCACCAGATATTTGCCCCAAAACACTGAAGGACCTAGCTCAAGAAGCTTCCAACATGATGAGAATCTTTAAAGCTGATGCTGGAAAAACACTGAGAAACACCCCGACCTTTATCCTAAACAAAACATTTGTATCATCTTACAGAAAAATAATACTTTTTTAAACTTTCTGGCTGTTGTTGAAGTGAATCTATCAGGCTTTTCCTTATTTTCTGTCATATAGCTACCGTTAGCTGAACTGTCCAGTTAAGTCAGGGGTGTTGAACTCCAGGCCTCGAGGGCCGGTGTCCTGCAGGTTCTAGATATCACCCTGGGTACACACACTCAAATCAAATGATTAGTTCATTACCAGGCCTCTGGAGAACTTGAAGACATGTTGAGGAGGTAATTTAGCTATTTAAATCAGCTGTGATGGATCAAGAATCCATCTAAAACCTGCAGGACACCGGCCCTCGAGGCCTGGAATTTGACACCTGTGGGTTAAGCGGTTAAGAAAATGAAAGGATGAATGGTGGATAATACTTTTTTCAGTCACTGTTTCACCTTATGTTAAAGACGGACAAGGTTTCATAATGATAAGTCAGAGTATGTATCACTATATCACTATATCACCATGAGCCAAATGCTCAGGCTGTTATGCTGGAGGTTTCTTCCTGTTAAAAGGGAGTTTTTCTTTCCCACTGTCGTTGAAGATCTTGCTCATAGGGGGTCATGTGATTGTTCTGGTTTTCTCTGTTTTCTCTATATAACTAAAAATGAATTGAACTGAAATGAATGTGCTTTGCATTGCCAGTCTTTTTAAAACAAACCACACAGAAACGCCTCTCTGAGTTTGGGGTCTGGAGAGGAGTCAGGTTCCTCTCACCTTTGGCGTCCTCGCCGAGGTTTCGTCCTTTCTGCCTCTTTGGTACAAAATAACACGGCAATCTTTGGATGTCTTGAAGAGCTTTCTTTCCCAGCCAGTTGGATACATCCGGGCCATTACGAACCGCAGCCGGCCAACTTTGAACCTACAAACAGACATGAGGAGGAACATTACCTCGCAGCAGGTGCAAAACACAGTTAACTCTTTTGCCACGTGTCATGTAACTGTCCCGGTTCACTGTTTAATATTTATTTTTTGGTGGGTTTCAATGGCATCCAGATGTTGTTATTCCTTTGTCAAGCTTTTTTTGGGATGCCTGTTTTGTTTTGCGCTTTGGGAGATGTCATTGCTAGATTTCCAAGTGATTCTATCCCCTCAAAATTAGTTTTGTGACCTTTGTGTAGTGGGACAAAAAATGTAGGTGCATACTGGGGGCTAGGTTTATTATTGTAATCCATTTTGAGGTGTGTTATGTGCTGTTGCTGTCTGGTAAGGAGTAAATATTCCTGTAGTTTTTCCTTGTGGTAACTAAACTGATTTCTTTGAAGCTTATCTGCTCCCAGAATAAACCTGTATGGCATTTTTTCCCTTGCAAGTGAATAAACACCATAAACTCACTGCTCTGTGTCTCACTTTATAAGCAAACTTTGAAACTGACACTAGTCAAAAAAACAAGCCTCAAACTGTCAAACCAAAAAAGTTACAAGTTGATGCACAAGATAGGTTTGACAAAAGACTTAAAAATGATACGTTACTGAGAGGGAAACATTAGAAACACAAGACTGGGAGAGCCCACTGTTTCCAGAGCCCTTAAAGTACAGACAATACATGCAGATGTGTGGTTTTATTTTGCCAATAGTTTCCGGCGTCACTTTAAAGGGGTATGAGTAATTTTGGGGGGAGGAGAAAGAAGCCAGTGAAGATTTCTCTTATGTCCAAGTTAAACAAACTGAGCATTGTTACAAAATTGCTGAAGGTGAATCATGCACCATTCAGACAAAACTACAGGTCATCCAGGCTTCATACCTTTGATTGTGATTTTGAGCAGCACACATAAAGCGGTCAGTAATCTTATTTATGACCACAGAGCAGATTCAGTGATTACCTTGAGCGCAGGAACCACGTCCACGGAGATCAGCTCCTCGCTGTTCTTGTCAGTTTTGAAGAGAGACAAAGTGACAGCCGGAGAGTGCACGCGCTTCCTGTTCACCTCCCAGTGATAGCATTCATCGGGCACTGAAAACAGGCACAGGTTAAATGTTAAAAACTCTGTTTTTGTTTGTGTAAGGATCCCACTCTGAAGAGTGCACATTAAGAGGCCGGTACCACTGTGATTAAAATGCATCTGAACATGTTGGGCTTCACTTCTCAACACTTGTGGTTCAGTAACATCAGAGTTTACTGACTACTCGTTATAAAATTGTTATTCACTGCAGATATTTTGGGAATAAAGAATAAAAAAAATCTCAATTATTTCTAATCTCACTTTATTAATCTAGCGATGGAGACTCGGGGTTGGTGTTGATGAACCTTTTTGTTAACGAACATCAAAATCAAAACTGCAAAGCTAACAGAAACGATAGTGCATACTTACAAAATCAGCAAAAATAACAACTTTAGTCTCTTTTTGTTTATTTGGTTCTGTTTGACTGTAGAGAGTTTGATGGATATGCACATAAACTCTGGGATAGTTTTGTCTGTGCAGTGCTTGCACTGTTACATTCTTTTGCTGTTAATGATAAAACCACAGTTTTGCTGCTGTGCATCTAAACTGAACTAAAATGGAAATAATGGAAAACGTGACACTATAATAACTCTGATGGGGACTAAGATACAGCTGTGTTTAAAAAATATCAGGGTAGTGTTAATTAAAAAATGTCTCTGTAATGCACAAATGAGTTAAGAAGTTCTTTTTTCAGTCTAGGTATTGATTTTAAATGATCCTAACAAGCATCGAACAAGATCATTTCTTGTGCCTGTTTGACTGGCCTTTATTTAGCCTCATAATCGTGAAAACTGGGCTCTGCTTAGTAAAAGTTGATCCAAATTTAGCCCAATATGATTGTCTGTTTTACATCCTATGAAACGATGATCAGATCCCATCCAATTAAAACCAGTGGACAAGACAACTTTAGGAAATTCTCTAAACAGTTTTGAGCCATTAAAAGGTGGAAAAGCCAGAAGACCAGCAGGAGAAACAGAAGTATAATATTAGAGGTGAGGCAGAAAACCTTTGTAGGTCTTGAGGAATTTGCGGACCAGGCGATGCATCTCATTCAGGACCTTGCTCGACGAGAGGGTGAGGCTGTTCTCCAGAAGAAAAGCCTTAATGGGTTGTCGAGTGGGCCGGGTGAGATCGAGCCGGTAGAAGAGACCCCCGTCGAGCTTCATCGGGTTGAGGCGTAGGTTTGGGCTGCCTGGAAACGTCAGCATCATGTCAAACTCATCAGGCATGTGGATCTGGGAGCAGAGGATGAATTAAAAGTCAGATCAGATCACATCAATCAGGAGGAGCAGAGACTGGGAAGGGATGTGCAGGAAGGCTTTCATTATATATTAATCACTAAGGTGCTATGAGATGTTTTAGAAACTACTGAAGTGATACTCGTGCATCAAGAGTTATTTGATGACGTGATTTGATGTTTTTCAGGCAGTCAGAAGATCAGATGAACAGGTGAACTTAATAAGAACAAAGGCAGGACATACGAATACTTAAAACTGGATTAAAAAACATAAACATTAAAATAGTCACGTCTGAATTAAAATTCAGAAGCTGTGATCTCACCTTAACTTTCTCAAAGTAGCTGCCGGCGTTGAGGCACTCTGCTGACTTGAATAAAGGTTCATTGTTAAGGAATTTCAGCAGATTCTCACGAAAATCGTTGACCACCTCAGCAGCCCAGCGACGGTCTTTCAGCTGGATCTTCAGGTCTTTGGCATTATTTTTGATCCAGGTCTCCAGATCTGTGGGGATGGCGGACTCCTCAGCCACCTCCCCCTCCTCTGCAAAGTGACAAAGATAATATTTTTTTAGGCAAAGCAGAGAGGTGAGCGTTAAAGATTCACGTAAAGCCCCCAAAATTATGGCAGTGTCACCTGACTGCTGCTGCTGAATCTTCTCTTTTGGTCTGGCGACAGGCTTTACTCTGTCTCCCACCCGTGCCTCACGTGGGGATCGTTGTTGTTTGTCCTTTAACTCCATAACTCGTTTATTTCAGCCTTTAACACAGATAAAATAACCTGCTGTTTAATTAAATCTATGAAACGTAAATATGGGAGATGTAAAAAAATATATTAGAAACACACCACTGACTTTGCCCGTTTTAAAATCTGCAAATTTTCTGCAACCTATCCAACCTTTAACCTTTAACCACTGCTCTGTTCATTTATTTCTTCGTGTTATCAATGATTCATTTTGATCTTCTGACAATTTTCTTTTTTTGGAGCTGACAGTAACACTTTAAACGCTTTACCTGCAGCAGCTGCTAACCGCTGCTACACTTGTTTTTCCCGAGACAAGTTCAGGACCAAATATCTGTCAGAACAGAAAAAGTAACACGAAGCTTTTTATTTACTCACTCATTTCAAATTGTAAATCTTAATTACACAATAGTAAATTACATGGTTGTGTTTTGTTTTTTTCTGCAGACCAACTGCACCATCTTAAATGCCCAGCAGGGGGCCACAGCCCACACTTTGGACATTGCTGATCTAATTGTAGAGGTTTATTAACACGTGGTAAACATTTATACATTCTATATAAATTACAACAGATATCATACAGTTAGATTTTGTGTCTTTAATTATTGAAGTTTAGGACTGTGTGTTTCTAACAAAAAAAGTGTTTGCTTAGTCTTTGCTGGCTTTGATGTATTCCATATGATATTACAGTATGGTAAGGTTGTGTTGTTTTTGCAGCCCTGACCAACATCCTACATACACTTCAGTCATCCGGCCACACCCTGCATTGCTGCTATCCTGCACATTCACAGCTCCCTTCCACGCTTTGGTTAAACAAACTGACAGGA